AGATTCGTCTCTTTTTCCGCTCCACCCAAAAGGGGAAATTAGGAAATTTCGGAAAGAAGAAAAATCGGATGTTGTCTCGGCCGAGGTTCGAAGACGACGGGGAAGAAATAGCAGAGGGTTCGAGGCAAGGGGGAAATTTGTCCGTGCTAATTTGTTGCAGAGATCGCGGAATTGAAGCAGGCGCGTTGTCTCTTCCGTTGCGCGCTTTCCTTCCGGCTACCCACCCCTCTCCTCCTCGCTACCATCTCTCCACCATCCTCCTCTCCACCATCCTATCGCATTTTCTACGAGTTCCATTTCGAATTAGGAACGACTCTTTGTCGATAAGGAAGAAAGACAGGGAGCGGAGGGAGAGTGGAAATTAGAAGGAATCTAATTAATTGATAATACGTAACTCGTGACGCTTCGAGGAGTCTGTATAATAATATAGGAGCTGGAAATTCGATCGAAGAAATTTCTTTTCGATTTCGGTTCCGATAATTTTGATCTTTTGATCGAGTAAGAGGAATCTTGGTCTCCGTCTCAATCTTAATTCGATAAAATACACCCTCCCGTATATTAATCGGGGAGGCAAGAGATTAGGCGCGTTTCTTCGAAGTAAGAACGTAAGAAGCCGGACGAAAACATCAATGTCAATAATAATTCATTGATTACTTAATTCATAGTTACCATGACGACCGCCTCTCGCTTTTCCCTCGCCTTCAAGCTGTTCTGTTTTTCTCGCTTCGACGAAGGAGAGTTACGTGTTCCTTAAGCTCGCCTCACACCAAATCCGTCCGAGAATTTTTCACCGGCCGCCTTCAACTTTTCCAACTGATATACACTCCAACTCCAATATACATATCGTATACCTCCAAACGAAAGAAAAAAATGTCAAATTAAATTGTTACATCGCTCACGAGGGATAGAGCGATAGAACGGCGCAGCTTCGCCACTCGATCGAATATGATAATTTCCACTTCACGTATAGTTGGATATAGGATAACATGCGCGTGCACAGATGGATTCTTTCTAAGAGAGAATCGGGAAGGAAAGAAGAGAGAATCGTTGTGAGCGTCGCATTAGCCTTGCTTATGGGTACGCAAGCAGGCAAGGAGAAACACGAAATGAATATTCAGAAGTTATTAGTCTGTAGTGAAATGTGACGGGGCTCACCCTTCTCGAAAACCGCCCTGGCCTCCGCCACATCGCCCACTCTTCCGTCTCATCCTCTGACTCTCGGCTTCCCCCAACCTCCCCCCTCCCCAGACCTTCGTCTCACCTCCTCGCGCCCTCAACGGTATAGATTTTGCGATACATCCTGGCGGAAACGCCGAGGCTGCCTGCTCGCTTGCTACCAGTCGAAGAAGGGGTTGAAGCTTCGATGAAAAGGGGAGGGGCTGAAATCGTGAGAGATGAGAAGGGTAGGAGACAAGGAACATCGACGCAGATGGTAGGGAGAGTGCTTTATGCATAAGCTAAGAAACGCCATTGACGGGCCAAGCACGCTGTAAGTAAGCAGCTACAGCTCGATAAACAACGGCGTGTAGATATGATATAATAATCAATTAATTAATAATTATTATATTGATGATAATTAATTATAATAATTACTGTTGGAAAATGATCCCTCCCCCTCGCGTATCTGGCAACCTGGAAGAAAGAGCGAATCGTATTGGCAGATAGCTACGTCGTTTTACAACCCCTTATCTGGATATCTCTCTCCTCGATGTCATCGATTTCCATACGTTCTACATCCCCTTTCGCTTCGAGGGGCGATATTTAACGTATGTGCGTGCATCGTTATCTCTTCTTTCTTTATCAACTTATCAACTTTATTCGAGAGAAGGATTTGAAGACACAAGGTTTCGAACGCGGGAGTGAAAAATATCGTCGGAGTACATCGAGGCAATTCCCTTCATCTGCTTATATTACACATACAATATATCTGGGTATCGAAGTCGGTTGATCCTGGCAACTTCTCTCCCTTGGGCTATACATCATACTTTCTTCTTTATTAAACTCATATTTTTCAAAAAGTCTCACCTCTCGCTACTATCTCGAGGTGGCGCGGCCTCCTCCTCTCGCTCAGGGGCGCAACGCTCGGCAGGAAATCAGCTTCGCCGAGAACGAAAAATTCACTCGGCTCTCGGTGGATAAGATGAGTATGAAAATTGGCCTGGCTGAAAATGATTTACATTCGAACGTCGCGCGATGATGGCACTGGCTCGAGCACTTCCCATGAATAATTTACCCCCAAGGGTCGATAGAAAAATATTTACGAAACTTTTTTGTACTAATTTTGTACTCTCCTCTCTCTCTCTCTCTCTCTCTCTTTTTCTCGAAGGGTGAGACTTCTCGAGAAATTAGAAAATGTGCGATAATTCGATCGAGCGAAAGAAGAAGTTGAAAAAGTTGGAGTGGTGGTTTTGGTGGTCAACGATTTGTCTACTTTCGTTCGACGCGTCCTGAGAGATTGGCCATTCCGCGGCCGTAAAAAAAAGAAAGAAAGAAAGAAAGAAGGAAAGGAAGGAAAGAAAAAGGAGAGGCGCCTCCTTTAGCCGGCTTTCAGCAAACTGCTTCCCTTCCCTCCCCGTGACCCGAAACCGCGGCCGGTTATAAAGCATTCTTCCAGTTTATTAGACGAAGAAGACTCGCGGGCTTCTTTTTATATTAAGCATGTGCATTATTAATGCGCGAGCATAACCGTAAAATGCTGATGAAAAAAAGTTGCGGAGCCCCACGGGCGTTCCTTCGTGGCCAGGCCAGGAAGCGGCGAGCTCCTGCGAGATTGCCGCTTGACCGACTTCGGATCCATCTCTCTCTCTCTCTCTCTCTCTCTCTCTCGATTTAATTTCACATCGTAACGCGACCAGTTGACGACGAGGTGAAAGAAAAATTCGACTGGAAACGGAAATATAATGGGCGATGGTGGTATCGCGCAGCACCTCGTCGAGTCGAATGAATATTTCATCGGGAAAGGATCTCTCTATCTTTTTATTTTTTTGTCTTTTTCCTTCGAGCGATTGTCATTGGAGGGGAGGGAGGCAGGCCAGGAAAATCAATTATTCATCCCGAATTGGTCGGGAAAAAGTCGTAATTATCCGGGGCAAATACGAGCTTAATACGCGGAGAGAAGTGTACCAGCCTCCCCCTCCCTCGTTACTTCTGTTTCGTTCACCGGCGGGAGCCCTCCTCCATCGGTTAGTACTCGCCAGTCTTCGGCCTTTCCTTCTTACCGTGAATAACCATTTGTATTTCCAATTAGCTTTGCTAATAAGAAGACGGAGGAGGTATTGCCGTAGTTAAAAAAAAAAAAAAAAAAGAAAAACAAAAAAAGAAAAGAGAGAGAGAGAGAGAGAGAGAAATGTATAACCTCATCCAGCCACTGGGGAAATAAAGAAAAGCGCCGCTCCGGTATGACAATACCGGCGGGTCGAGCGGGGTTATACCGGCTGAACTACAATTAAAAATCCTCGCTTCACCCTCGCTTAACTCCTGCCTCCTCCTTATGCCGTATTAACGACCGGGACGTGCAGGGAGGGGACACGAAACATCCTACCAAACATCGAGGCTTTTTTTGCCAATTTTATGCTTGACCCCATCTTCTCCCACCCTATCCGCTACCCTCCGCCTTCTGCCTCTCTCTCTCTCTCTCTCTCTTTGTCTGTCTGTCTGTCTTGTCTGTCTGTCTGTCTGTCTGCTTGCCTGCCTGCCTGCCTGTCTGTCTGTCTGTCTGTCTGTCTGTCTGTCGGTCCGTTCGTTCTTCCCTATTCCATCTTTATTTCTCGTTCAACAGTTCGTTTCCTCGGTCTCGTTACGATGATCACTCTGTTCGACTAACAATAAGCAAACGTTTGTTCTTTCGTGAAAATAGACCGATCTGTTATGGGGGGGGAGGGCAACTTTCGTTCTCCTCGGATCGAAGGGAAGGGAAAAGGAGATTTTGTTCGGAGATGTGTTCAAAAATCGGCAATAAATTTATCTTTTTCTTTTTTTTTTTTCTTCTAAAATGGAAGATATTTCCGAAAAATCGATATTTCGTTCTTTGTTATTTTCGACGAATAATCGATGTTGTCTTTTTAAATTTTTCGTAGTAAATGTAAACGTTAATCTTTCCAAAAAAGAAATTTTAATTTTAAAAAGTATTAATTAAAGTAATAGGTGAAAAGAGAAAAAAATAAAATAAAATGAAATGAAAAATATCACACATAATTTATCGATATCGTTAGATTGAAATAAAGAAGAGAAAAAGTAAGTCGCGCAACGTTCCAACGTTAAAATGATATATCCTCGAGAAAAATATTATCGAGTCAAGTGTCTAGCGAAAAAAGAAAAGAAAAAAAAAAAAAAAAAAAAAAAAAAAAAAAAAAAAAAAAAAACGATGAAAAAAAAAGAAAGTCGTATCCATCGATGATTTTCAATGATTTCAGAAATTGGAAATTAAATAAGCGAAAATTCGATGTGTTACGGATTAATACGATGATTCTATCTTCAACAGATACGAGTAAATGTTAATAGAAAAAATATGTGCCGATATTGGCGATCAGTAAGAAGCGATAAGCAGATTGGATTTCGTCGAAGGCAGCCCTGTGTTTGCAAACTTGGATTTCTGAGCGGCGACTCCGCCTGGCGTCCTTTGTTGTGTCAACCATCAAAGTCAACACGAGGTCAACTAAACACGGATTCTTCTCAGTCACTGTCGACGAGCTGTGAAATGTGTGTCGTATATTGAAACATTCCCTATTCAACGTATAATTTATATTTGATTCATGGTACAAAGCAAAGTATTCAATTTTTACTCGTGTTTCGAGAAATTTATTACTATTTATTATAAATTTATTACACGGATGCATCGCGTAAGTATAAATTCTTTTCGTTTAAAACCGTATACCATTTCTAAAAATTTCTCTTTACATTCTCGATACATTTGATTCTCTTCTGAGGCATTTCAGATGCAATGAGTTTTACGATTAAACGGATATATTTAATATTTAATAATATTACACTTACGTGGATAGATGGATAATGCACTTTTTCCTTTCGAATTTAAATTTTTGGATAGCAGACGAAACGATTGATATCTTTCTTTTTTTCGTTTAGTTTGAATTTTACACGATGGTATTGTCGATACGTACGTGTATATTTTCAGCTGGAATTACTTTATAGTAAACAAATATGAGAGTGAAAACCGTGCCGAGGCAGAGGATATCTCAAGGTAACGCGAACGTTGGCTCGGTGCGTGAAACGGTTACCAGAAAAATTGAAAATTCGGAACAACGCTCGAACGATGAGGAAAAGAAAGTGTCAAAAGGCGAAAGTGATGCGTTACTCGAGCCGAACGATTCGGGCGAAGGAGATCAGTCGAAAGATCTATCAGTGAAAGTCAAGGAGAAGATGGAAACATCGATCCACTTGGAAAAAGTGTTGAACATGTCGATCAAGGTAGATATTGTAGCGAATAAGCGAGTTTCGCGCGCGCATACATAGATGCACGTCGTCCTTTCTTAAATTTATCGAGCGTATGATTAAGTGCATCTAAGGTTTTCTTCTCAAAAATAAACAATAATACGTTATAAGCTTATTGTTCTAAGCTTATCGGTTATCTTTTTTTTAAATATGATTTATTTTTTCAGATCGAAGAGGATTCGGTGCTTCTCAGCTTAATAGCTGGTCCAAGTTGCAATTACTCCAACTCGCACTCAAAGAGAGATACAAAGGAATTTATTAGCAACGACGACAATAACAATGTATAATACATTCTCATTAATAATTGATAGACTGCGAATATGCTTATATAGGTTTTCATCTGTATCAATATCATAGGAAATGAGTGGAATAGCGAATGTGAAAAATAACAAATACAAAATTATACACCGTGTGAAAAAAACGTGGACGTTACGTAAAACATGATATATATATATATATCGTTTTAATCGCAAAGCTATTTCCATTGCAATTCTCCATTCCTTGCCTCTATTTTATACAAATATTTAGATAAATATTTAGATAATAATTCGCAGTCTAATTTACCATTATTTTCCACGATGTTATCGATACACGTAATCGATCTGTTTTAGATAATAACATCGGAGACGGAATCGGAAAATTATTCCTGCGTTGCCGGTTGTTCGAGCAAAGAAGATTCAGAATCGTGCGAAAACAAAGACGAGGAGAGAGAGGAAGCTCTTAATTTATGCAAACGGGATTGTGAAGAGAAAGACGTGTCGAATCACAATGTGGGATCCGATGAAAAGTTAAAGGACACTTTTCTTTACAAAATCATGACAGATCCGACGTTCCTAGACAATATACAAAAGAGCAAACAGACGAAGCGATACATGTGCGAATTTTGTAAGCAAACGTTCGGTAACAGCGACGAGTTGGCCGATCACATGGATGTGAAGAAGGACGAGTCGAATCAGGTGATATGTTGCGCGTGCAAGAAAACCTTCGCCCAGAAACGGTATCTGAGATATCATCAGAGGTGTCACTCGGAGAGGACCATGTTTACCTGCGACATATGCACCAAGAAGTACACCAGGATGGACAATTTGTCCAGGCACAACGCATTCCACGTGAACCCGGATAAATTCTCGTGCACGTTCTGCGAGAAGACATTCGCGAGGAAGGATCTGTTGAACAAGCACTTGAAAAGTCACGACAAGAATCGTTTTATGTGCGAGGTGTGTCAAAGATATTTCAAAGGCCCGCTTACGTTGGATAATCATAAAAAGAATTTCCACTCCATTGTATAACATATATTGATATATCATATGTACTTATTATATTTATATTTATATCGTATCGTTTAAGGAATAAGTAACGAACATCTTTCTTATCTTTAAGATAATCTTAGATGATACGTAATAAATAAAGATTAGGCGTAAAAAAGAAACGATGATTGCCAAATCCACTGTATCGATAAATTCTTTTACACGATTCCAACGAAACAGATTAATTATATCATAGATACATGTTTTGCGAATTATATATATATATCTGTTCGTAAAAAGGACCGATTGTTTAAACAAAGAGAATTTGAAGTGCATTGCACCTTGTAGGGTAAAAAAAAAAGCGACGAAGAAAATTCTTTTTACGTAATACCCTCGCGTTGTCTCGAGAACTTTCCCTCCTTTTCGTTTGTCCGCCCCCCTCTCTTTCCTTCGTCCTCCCCCATTGCACCTCGGCGTTTCTCTCACTCCCATCGTCCCACCCCTGGTCTTCCAGTTGAAATCTAAAACATAATCCGTTTCTTCCGCCCTCCCTCTCTCGCCCTGGCCACTTGGCGAAAAAAACCGAGCACTCTGTTTGTTTCGGCTCAAAGGGTAGAGCGGCGCCGCAACAAGGAGCACTTTGAAAATCCGACGTATTACCGCGAGAGAGAACATCCAATCGCCAGCTGCATAGAACAACCGCCAAGGTTGACCCGCGTCCCTTTCCCTTTCCATTTGCGCTTTTACCCTCCGTTTTCTTATTTTTTCCTTCACCCTCCTCTATCTTCTCTCACGGTTAGCCTCCCGGTTTAATGCAATTAAGTCGAGCGTTAAAATATCGTTCTTAATTCGCCCCCCTCCCGCCATCTTTTCTTTCCTCTGTGGTTTAACGCGAACGGTTTGCTTCCTTTTCCCTCTCTCTCTCTCTCTCTCTCGTTTTTCTTTTTTTTTTTTTATCTTAAGAAGGGAACGCACACGCGAATTCGGATAAAGAACACTTGCTCTTTTGTAATTATTTTAATCATTCGTCGACTTCTTTTCTCGATGCCCATCTCATTATATCAAAGATATAAGAGCGCGATTATGCTTTTCAATGTTTCGATTTGTATTGTTGTATACTATTGTTGTATACTTTTTTTTTTTTTTTCGTCAAGGTGCGCTATTTGAAAGATGCATGTACATACGATACGATTTCTATTTTGTGGAATAAAAGGGTAGGTGAAGAACGAAGCGCATGCCCTCGTAAAAAATATCCTTCTATGCGAGATATTTTATCTTGTAGGTTGTAGGTTGGTGGAGCCAAAAGATTTTTACAAATTTTTCACGGAAGAGCGCGGAAGGAATGCAATGCTGCTTCTCACTCGTTTACACCTCTTTTCCAACCTCTTGTTACGTTCAAGCTTGTCCCTTTGATCCGGCTTATTCGGGCAGCGTATGTCGTGAAGCTGACCAAAAATGCAACAAAGTTTTCGCGAACGTCCTGGCACGAATGCCAGTAGAGATTTTGCGGTCCCTTTGCCAAGCGTCGAACTCTGTTTTTCCTTTGCGCGTCCTCCACCGTCCTCCACCTTTTGACAATTACATGTCCGACAAGATTCTTGAATATTCATCAGGAATTTCGTGATTCACGAGAACTCTGTTTCAAGTATTCTTTGCCATTCGATATTTTTAACATGCGAGACATTTTGAGACCAAAAATTTTCGAAAATACGCGGATACATAATTTTCTATTTAAAATTTTGTCCCAAACTTCTTCTCTAACGTGACATAATTAAATAAGCGGGATTTACACAATTTGTGAATCTCTCGTATTTTTGCATCTTTTGCCTTAGTCTCCCTTAAAAACATCATCTCTACGAAGATATCTACGTCTCACGATGAAACGGAGATTCGACAGATATAAGAAATCACACATTGTAAATTGTAATAGTTTTTTGTGTCTTAAAAATTTGAAGATCAACCGAGTCTGTTTCTATTTTTGTCATTCAATGTAGAAAATGATTGTAACAATAATTGAAAACCTGATTTTCGTATAAAAATTATAAATAAGATATAGAATAATTGATGAAAAACATTATATATTTCTCGATCTGGACATTCTTATATGTATATGAAATGAAACATTTGATTATAATTCTGAGTATAATTTATATATATATATTCTTCTTTTTTTCCAGTTTTTATTCCATTCTAAATATATGAATAAATTTTTATTTTTAAAATTATTAACGCAATAAACATGATTCTTTTCTCTTACTCGTTTATTTCAATGGAATGAATTTTATGAGTAAAATTAATATATATCTATTACATGTATATATATATATATTTTTTAATATACTGTAGATTAAATTTTCAAAGATAATATTATTTTTAATTTTTATTGATAAAATTTCATTTAAAGAATCATAAAATAAATATTCATTATATGGCTGTTTTAAAAAATTTAATGATATATGTAAATCACTGAACTAATTGGTTATTCAAGTCGATTAATATTTTCTTTCTTTTAATTTCTTCTTTGAATCTTATTATTTATTTTTTTGCTCACTTGTTGTTTTTTTCTTTTTGATCTTTTATTTTTTTCTGATTGGAAATATTAGATTATTTCTTCGATCGAATAACAAAGGTTTTAATTTTATGTTGATTTATTTTGAGTAAAATGAACAATATTATCGATGTTGTCAATAAATTATATGATTTTAAATTTTGATCTTAATATTAAAATTTGAATAAAGAAATTTTTTAAAATCTCATTGTTGCAGGAACAATGATGAACAACGTGGAAGATGATTTTTTTGAAATAATTTATATGTGTGATATAAGAGCAACAAAGTGCAACTAATGTAAAAGATTCACTGATAAAAATCTATTATATATAATTTTTATATTTATTTTTTTTTAATCTTCTTTTTTAATTTAATATTTATTTTAAATTCTCTCGTTATGTTTCAGTTTTATCAATTTAAATAATTTTTATATTAAATGAAACGTAATAATCTATTCTTTCTATTATATTTTTATTATTTATTATATTATATTTTTTACTGAAGTTTTTTTTGTAAAATTTCGATGAAGAGAAATTTTTTTTTCAAAGATAGAATTAAAATATTATACGTATATATTTTAATTTTCGCGCGGCTAAAGTGAATAAAGAATCCTTCAGCCAATCGGAAAGCTGCTAAAATCTAACGGTAAGATGTCAGTGCGCATGTCATCAGTCTATTGTCGAAAATTATGGTGATAGGTTGTTTCATCGGCAAAAGTGTATAATTATACATAAATTTTTATCAATAGCTCATTATATTACGGTTATTAAGCTTAATAATCATAGATGAATTAATATGTATATTTAATTATCATTATTAAACATTTTTGTGCAGATTATCGTTTGGATTCGAACTTCGAAGGCTTCGATATTTTCTAAGTGTGGTAGATTTTGCACATATCACGATAATGAAGAGATAATTCGACGATTTTCGTGCAAATATGGTAAGATTTTGTTTATTTTAACAGAAACGCAGTTATTATTAATTTTTTTATTCTTTTTGTGCACATAGAAGTGGAAATAATTGATTAAACAATCAATTCACACACACACGCACACACATATATATATATTTCATATATATTGTTATATACATATTTCATTCCAAATTCGTACATTCGTATGTCTATTCATACGTTCAACTCGCGTGTTATTATTTCTATATTTGTTTTGATTTTACGCTCGAAGTGCCAAGGCTGAAAACATTTTTTATAATACTTTCCGGGAAATTGACGGTTAGCTATGTCCATGTTACGCTCGATACATTCCGACTTAAACGAATTGTTGACGATATTTCTCTTTCGATATATCGAAATTTGCGAGAAATCATTTTGTTGTTAAAATTTGCGATGTTTTGCTTCAGGTGTGTGATAATCTATTGCATAATACTTATTTTATAGTTGATTTTATACTTTTTATATTATTAATATTATAATTATTGATATTATAATTGATAATTTTTCGAGAAATATCTTATTTTGTTTTTATTCATTCATTTAACTATTAATGTTAATGTTAACATTAATTTATATTATGAAATAGGAAAATTTAAAAAGATTTAAACTAAAATATTGCTTTATTTTGAAACAATCAATTTAATCTTATATATTTATCTTAAATATTTGATTTCTTTTTTTGTACACATAAGTAGCTAATTACTGAAATTATTTTAGGTCATCAATTTTCAATATGGACGCCAATTATAACAATTTATGGAAGAAAGGCAAGATTTAAATTTCCATATAGAAGGAAAATGAATATAAGTAAGTATTTTTATATACTAAATGTGAATAGAATGTTATTAATTTTAGTAATGAACATTGACAATTCTTTTAAAAATAATCCTTTCTAACAAATGTTTCATAAGAAAAAGAAAAACAAAAGGAAACATATATCTCCCCTCCTCCCATTAATACAATTTTATTTCTAGATTATTGTGATTGCGTGCAATGCGGTCAGTAGAGTCAGTGTTTTCTTCGTAATAGTATTTTCACAATAGCTCTAAGTAAATTTAAATAATAATTATAGAAATTAGAATCAGCTTGTTCTAGATAAATTACATAACATAAACGGAAATATTAATATAATTTTTTATTTTTGTTTTTTTATTTTTAAATATTGGTTTTCGATAAAAAGTAGAGTCCTCTCAAAAGAATAAGGCGATCATACGAAACGAGTAATTATCTTTTTTTTTATTCCAAAGTTGTTAGAAAATTCTAATTTTTAAATTTCAAGTTCTTATTCGAAGATTTCAATTTTTATTATTATTATTAGCTTATTAGAATTTTAATATTTATTATCGTGTTTATAAATTGTAATATTCTACTTTTTGTACAGTTTTTGCAATAACTTCGCGTTACAACAGCATTGATCGTAGTACAGATTCATCGCATCAATTGGTAAGTCGCATGCATTTTGATTCCTTTGGTCACTCAATCATGTCATAGGATGAAAGGTCCAAATCGACAAGAGTGACTGATTGTATACGTAGAAT